CCAGGGGAGAGCACAAAACAGATCCCAGCACAACCAAGGGAGCTCCACAGAGCTGCGGGGTTTACTTCCACGTCTCTTTTATGACCTCTTGGCCAGTCCCAGGTTTTCCATTCCACAGGAAATTCCAACGCCAAAAAACTCAAATCAGGCCAGATTCAGAGGGTTTGGGGGTGGGTTTTTGGTTGCTTTTTTTTTTTGCAGAAACTTTAAAGGAAGAAGCTGGAATTATAGAGCACTGAATTCAGAATCAAGAACTGTAGGAAGGAGCACTCACAGCATCATGCCCCAACCTTCCTGTACGCAGGCAGCATCTTCCAGCCTGGGGACTCACAAGAGGTGGCCAGACTGGAGCTCTGTGGCCAGGATTCATTTCCTAGAAGGAGAACCCTCATCCCATCAATAAAAACATCCCCCCTCCCCTTAAACCCTGCCTGGAAGAGACAATAATTGATCAGCCTGGAGGACGAGTTTGATGTGGAAAACGAGGGGAGGAGGCTGGTTCTGACTTGCCCTCCATGCCTTCTGCTGGCTGCTGAGGAGGAAATGGTTCACCCCTAATTCAAGCCGGGCCTCTGGATCTGAAGACGTTTCCATAACAGCATTTGGACGGCACAGAGGACCTGCAGTGCCTGCTCCAGCCAAGCAAAAGCCATCAGCCCTGCACTCAGTTTTGCCCAACAGCCCACACCAGCTTCTATTAAACTGATTTTCCTCCTTTTCCACTTAGCAGATCCTGATTAGTCTGAAAAGGTGATGAATGTGGCTGCCCTGGCCCAGCAGGTTATACAGACTTTATCAAGCACAAACCTTATCAGGCTGTGCTGGCGGGTGGCAGAGCTGTGCTGGCGGGTGGCAGAGCTGTGTGTGGCACTATCCATTAACACTGGTGTCTGCAAGCACAGCAGAGAAGGCACTTGCTGCTTTACTGCACCTGCAACCAGGGCTCCCCAGTGGAAAGGCTTTTTCTTTAATTTTTCTTTATTCTCTAATAAAGGGAATATGGAAGAAATGAAGTTATTATAGAGGATTAGCACCTTGGTCCAGGAGTCCTGACCTGAAGCTTTACTTCTCTCGAAAGACACCAGACATTCAAATAGGCTGAAAAGCCAAGTCATTCCCCATGGATGCTACCATGCCACGGCTGACTCTCACATACAGCAATGGTATCACAGTCCTGCTATGGGCTGGAAGACTTCCCTGCCAGGAGAAGGAATCAGCTGCATGTCAGAAGGAACAGTATTTCCCAAACCCCAAGTGCCCTGATCCTGCATTCAGTGCACATAAACCCATTTCTGTGACGAAGCTGCATCGCTGCTGCCCTGGGGAGTGATTCTGGCAGAGCTCAGGGCTGATCTCACCTTCAGCACCAAGATCTCCAGACCCTTGAGTCCAGCAGGGTTTTCCCTAGAAGAAAGAACTACTGAGACGTCATTAAAAAGCCCACTTGCATGGCTCGAAGCAGGTGATTGAAGCAGGGTCTGTGCTCAGTGTCCGGGGTTTCTGTTGCAGGATGGATCCCAATCTCCCCGCAAAAACACAATGGGCAGAACATTTCCCCAAAAGCCACGGATGTGCCAAGCATGAGCTCACCAGCCAGCAATGGAGGAACTGAGAAAGCTGTGCACAGGCAGCAGGCTAGGACAAGCAGAGCCTGGAGCTCCCCGACCCACAGAGCTGATGTAAGGGCTTGATGCTGCCAAAAGGCAGAGGTCCGGCTCACCCCGCACCAACCAGGACCTTCAGTGGTCCTTAATCTGTAGATCCTTAATCCAGCAACAATCCATTGCTTTTATGCTAGGTGAGTGAGCTGCATCAGCTCCCTGTGAGGAGAACAGCCAGCCTGAGCTGGGCATGGTAAGTGCTGCAGCTCCCTTCCCCTGCAGCAGCTCCTGTTCCCATATCCTGGAGCAGCCAGAGGAACTGCGTTAGGGCACAGGGTGAAATGAGCATAGAAATCCCATGTGCTGGGAAACAGGGACATAAGAGCACAAGGGAAGAGCAGATGGGAACTGAGGTGCCTGGGGCTGGAAGAACAGGACTGGTGCTGCAGCAGTGCAGTCCACCCAGCCATGCAAAGGATTAGAGCTGCTCCCATCCATCTGGAGGCTGACAGAGCTGGAGAGACTCTGTGGCCACATGGGGCTCTGCTGTGGGGAGGGAAGGCACTGTGCTGCTGCAGGGCAGGGTCACACAGCTCTTGAAGGGCCACCAAGTCTGTGACCTGCCAAAGAGCAACCTTCCCTCAGCAAGCAAAGCCTTGCTCCAACAAAGCACGCTTCCTCTGGGCCCGCAGGAAGCAGGTCCAAGCAGATAACTCCTTGCTCCGGGGACTCATGTACTCCCGAGATGAGCTATTCTTACCACGCAGGAAGGAACGGCTCCGGCACAAACAAGTGCACGGCTCCACCTTATCGCAGGGCACAGAGGGCAAGTGGTGGACGAGGCTCCTCCAAACAACTGCTCATGCTTGGAGAGGCTGTTTGCAACACCACGGAGCCACAGTGGTGGCCAAAGCACTTGGAGCACAACCTCCTCTGCAGCTGGGGAGGAAAATAAATGGTGTGTGCTTGGAGAGCTGGGGCAATGCACTGGTTCAGGGCCACACCATGTCTGGGTGCAGCTTGCGCATGCACACACACCAGCACCCACAGTACCTCTCCTTGGTCCCTCTGCAGCACATGCAGGGCTCGCAGCTGCTCTCACATTGCCCAATACCAACCTGCTGGGGATGTGAGACCTGACACTGACAGAAAAGACAAGCTGTTTGCCATTGCCAACCTTGACATAGGCAAGAGACAGCAGTGAGGGAACGGGGGACAAGCACCTTGTTGACCACAGGGTTTAAAACCATTTTCCTTCTGGAGAGCCTGAAGCCAACCACAGCAGGGATTAATTTTGCCCAGTTAGTGAGCAAACCTAGTAAAACAGCACAGGCTCCAAAGCATACGTTCAATACCAACACTGCCTGGGGTGTTTACCTCCTCTGGCTTGGCCTGAAATTCCCTGTTGCTATTTAAGAGGCTCACAGCAGCTTCCTGTTGTAGGAAAACCAAATGGGCAACTGAGAAGCAAACTTGGGCACACAAATCTTGCCAAGACTGCAAGAGGCTCTGGAATAAGCAAGAGGGCACAGGGGATGCATCATGCTGCTCCAGACAGGCACAAGCCACTTTCACAATGCAATCTGGGTCACTCCAGATGATAAACAAGTAAGAACCTTAAGCATGATTTGCAAGTTACACAGCCCCAAATATCCAGCTGACCCACTTGTAGGTGCATTGTGCTTTCCTCAAATGAAGGTTCTTTACAATCTCTAATCCACTTTGCATGTGGGTTAAGCAGAAACCTCAGCATATCAAGCTGATGGAGGCTGGGTACTGCCTGTACCTGTCAGCCCGAGGATGCTTTCACTGGAACAGTGCTTCTAGTGCAAGTAATGACTTGTTTTCACAGCAAGACCCCAGGAGAGGCACCAGGATGGGCTGGGGACCACTATGGCAATCACGTGCATATGACAGTATTCAGAAACAATATCCCCCAGGAGAAGCTGGGGAAAAGCTCATTTTTCTTAAAGGCAAACAGAGACCTGCTCCTTGCCGACCCATTCTGAACTAAAGCCTCCTGAGAGAACATTATTTCTGCAGAAGCCACAAGGTCAAAAAGATGTAGGATTTCCTTGGAAACAAAGCAAAGGCACTAAAGGCTTCACGGGAGCGTCCTTCCCACTGGAACCCCCTCACCTCCTCACTTTCAGTCCCACAAGCACCACCCCACTTCAGCTGCCTCCCCATCACTCTCCAGCCAGTCTCCACCCCAACACTGCCCCAGGAACAGACACCATCCTTCAGGCAAGAACTGCTCCCCTCTTGGATGTAAAGACTGAGCTTCAGAATGTCCACATACCCCACCTGCTACCAGCAGCGCAAGAGGAGCTTACACTTCTCCACATCTCAAGCTGCAGCAATCCCATACTCACAAAGTTCCTGTCTCTCCTTTGGGTTCCTCTTCTCAAGCACTGTTGAGTGCTGAACCAAAGCCAGCATCACTGGGTTTTATTCTGCTCAGGAATTCAATCTTAATGGTACACTCAGAGGCAAAATTTAGCAAGGAAGAAGCCCTGTACTTGGCCAAGGAGCCACCATGGCTGAGCAGCTTCTGGTGCACTTCTAAGAGGGCTAAGCACAGGGAGCACACACACCCAGCAAGCAGCATGAGTTCACCACATTTCACACCACACTGGCCTCAGGCTCAGCCTAAGAGACCTGCAAATGGAGTGGAAACTCCTCTACCTGAGAAGGAGCTTTTTACAGTGCAAGTGAAAAACTACTGCTTGCTGTTAGCAAAGGTACATTTTACTATGCAGGTAGAAGGAAAGGAAACTTTACATGTTCAAGTGACCCCTGCAAGCAACCTCTTCCAGGTATCCCAATGGAGGTGGGTACTAACTATATCAAACCTGCAGCACGGCTGCTTCCCTGGGCACACACACACAGAGCAATTCCTGGCTGCACGCAGGGCAAGCTGATGGTTGTGTAATGCACAAGCTGGGCTGCTGCCAAGGCACAGAGCAGGATCTTCAGCCGGCACCTAATCCCACCACAGCCTCGCTCCCTGCACATCCGATTAGTCTCCCATTTTCCCGTTTCAGGGAAGGCAAACCATTCCATGGAGCTCCACACCCTCTAGTGGGCATTAGAGCTTGGTACACTGAGGAGATGCTCTGAAACCCAGCATTGCTGAACTAGAGTAAATTGCCCCTCCAGATCCCCAGAGCATACCCAGCCAGCACTGCACACCCTCAGCCTGTCTGCCCCAGGCACAAATCGCAAGTGTCAGTGCAGTTTACACACCCACTTGCCTGGATTCACACTTGCAGCACGTTGAAAATATTTCTGCTTTGTTCACACACAATAGCAAGTATTAAATCTCAGTAAGTCAACTTTGAGAACTGGATTTTATTCACGCTTATCATCTAGCTAAGCAAAATGACTTTCTATTACCTAAAAAGACCACACAGCTGTAACCAGACTGCAAGAGCAGCACTCTCACCATCGTGCAGAATGGATCTTCTGGTCCAGCCACCTGAAAAGAAACAACCAGGGTGTTCAGACACAGCAAATGCACTGCAGGGAAGCTGGGCATGGGTACCAGAGGTGCTCAGTGTGGACACAAGGGAGCCAGAGCCCACCAGGGTGTCACAAACAGCTCATAGCCCAGGGTCCTCCTGCAAGTGGCCACATGTTAATGGAAATGAGAAAGTGTGCTAGTTTGAAAGTTAGTTGACAGGAAAATCCTCAGTCAAATAACTTTGTTTTAAAAATTAAGACTCTTCAAGCTGATTAAGATACTTACTCCCAACTTTTCCCTCCTTTATCAGAAACCCAAAACATCTTAAATACAGTAACATTCACAAATTTTCCATTTAAAGAATAAATACAGCTCATTTTCTAGGTGGAACTATGATCAGGATACTTGCAATCACAGTTGTCCCTGCTCATGACACGGGGATTGGAACTAGATAAGCTTTTAAGGTCCCTTCCAACCCAAACCATCCTATAACACTGTGATTCTATCTAGGGCTCCACATGCTTTGTTTTGACAGCCCCTGTGGCTGAACATACCAATTTGTAACCTAGGGAAGAACAAAACCAGTGTAAGGGAAACACTTGTTCAAATAATAAACTGAACAAGGGATGGCAGTCTGCAGCAGTACACAGGTGAAATGTGTTCAGCTGCAGCCTGAGACTGCCAGGCAGCTCTGCCCAGGTCAGCTCAACATCAAGAGACAAAGCAGAAAGGGAGAACTGGTTAATTCAAGGCTCGTGTCTGCATCTGGTGAACAAAGCACAGCTTCACTCGGTACAGAGGTTACCACACAGGGTGTGAGGTACAAATCCAGCTAAAGCTGGAGATCACTGCCCTACAGACCTATCTTCTCTGGATTGACATCAACTGAAACAGCAGCATCCCACCCCCAGCTTTCCCTAAAATCCTTCCTGACAGCATTTCTACTATGAAAACTTCCACCAGTGCCAACCACCATCTCTGGCACCATCCACTTTCCAGCTGAGGGGAAGCTACTCTGAAGCCTGTGGTGTCACAGTAAGATGTGACAGATTGTACCAAGCATGGAACGTGACTGCATTTCTGCAGGAATGGCTGTAACCACAGCCCAGAGCTTATACTGGTTCATGCTGACAGATTAGCTGTGTGGCCAGCAGAAAGCCTGTGGGCACAGCATTCACCTCCTGGACTGGTCTGAGCATGAGAGGCGACAAAATGAGCTTGTACTGCATCAGAGTGTTGTGTAACAGCAACACAGCACTCAGGTCTCGTACCAGAAGGCCCAAAGCAAGAGACACTGCCACACTTCTAGTGAGGAGGCACAGTATGAACAGTGTTCCTTCAAAACCAAACTTCATGCTGTTGTGGTTACCCTCACACCATCAACAGGGTGAGACATCAGGTAGAAAATATTCACCACCTGATGAACAAGAGGAGTGCCACAAAGGATTAACACTGCGCTCCTTAAACCATCAGGATCCCAAATTAACACCCCATTAAACTTATGAGGGAGTTTAATTTCACACATCTGGTTAAAACAGCATGAAACTGGACAGTAACAGCATATTAGAGCTCCCAAGACAGACACATCAATCATATCCTTCTGGCTCAGGTGCTGCTGGCGTGCAGTGATTCTCCCTGGTTTTAAGATCCCATTGGAAACACAACATCTGGCAGCTTCTGCACAGGCACTGTGCACACTGTGGTCTGTACAGCGCAGCAGAGCTATCCCACCAAACAAAGCCACTAAGGTGGGGAGGGAAAGGGGAGAAAAGTTGGTCTTCCCTTCCCAAAAGTACACAGCCTTTCCTCCCAACATTTCCCTAACTTCATTAATACTAGGTTATTTAGCTGTCTCTCCTCAGCTTGTTCTTGCTGCTTTTATTGGGCTAACTGCTCACAGATGGGTCAAGGTGAGCAAAGGAAAACCTTTGCTGGGACTGGGAGCAGGGAGGGTCTCCCACTGAAATATGAATTCATTTTATCTCAAACTGCACCAAGAGAGCTCCGAGATCACTGACACATCAGCTCCAGCCAAACACAACACAGTCTGGTGGCAAAGCTGGGTTAAGAAGCACCTCCTCCTCCCACTGTCTGTCAGCTCCTCAGCTGTACAGGAGCAATCATCTGGGGTGACCTCGCTGTGAGCCAAATCACCCAAACACCACCAACAAGCAGGAAAAATGCTTTTGGGGATTGGGTTTTTGTTTGGCAAAGCATTTTTGTCAGCAGCCAGGATCACAGCACGCATCTCCCCCACTCCCTTCCTATGTGCTTCTGAGCTGTGAGCCCAGCTGTACAAGAGCAACCAAACAGTAAAGAAAACCACAGATGCACAGAAGAGCATAGTACAACTTCCAAGAAAGCCATACGATTTGCTTGAGTAAAGAAACCACATTAACAGTCCCTACATTGTGGGGGGAACAAAGTTTTGGAACTAATGATAAATCAGGTGGAAAATGTATGAGCAACACACCTAAGTTCTGGTTTTCACACCTGTGAAACTCGCCTGTGAAGGAAGCGCAGGATCAGTTTCACTGTTCTAGGTGATTTTCGAGAGAAGATTCAGTATGCATGAAACCACCCGACTGTAAAGCTGTTTGCCCCTGCCCTGGGGATCTGTTGTTTGCAGTATCATACATGACCATCAAAATGCTGCATGGATGCTCACACCTGTTACTGCACAGGAGGGACCCCGCAGGGAGCCCACCTGGGAGCTGATCTCGGGCACGGGGCCAGGCTGGCTGGTATGAGGAGGGCCCCGCTGGCCCCACTGCCCAGCAGCCCTCCCCCAGCCCTGGCGCACCCCTCCTGCCTCCCCACCGCCACCACCCCCCCGGAGGTTCTCCCTCACCTCAGCGATGGAAGCACTCGGGGCTGCCGCCTCTCGGGGGCTGAGGAAGTCCTGCGGAGAATCACAGATAAAACAGCGCCGGTTTGAGACACACTGCATCCCCCTCCAGCCCTGCACCCCCCATACGGGCCCAGCACCGCCCACAGGGGGACCACAACCCGGCCTGTCCCCTTCCCCAGCCTCCCAGCTCTCCTCCGCACCCCCCCTTCCCAACTGCCACTCCCGCACCGCACCCCATGGCCTGCCCCGGCCCTCACTACACCCCCCCACCGCTCCCCAGGCTTCCCTCGCACCCCTCCCCACATTGCCCCCCATGCCCCCCATACCCCCCAACCCCAGCCCAAGGCCGCCCTCCGCCCGCCATGAGGCCGCTCGCAACCGGAAACAGAAAGGCCGGAACTCCACCGAGACGCAGAGCAGCCCAGAGCGCCTCGCAACCACTTCCGGCCTCTGGCGGTCCTCCCGACACCGCCTTAAAGGGCCAGCGGCGTCCGGAGCCATCGCTATGGCAACGGCAGGGCCCGATCCGGCCCCGGGAGCACCAACGGGGCTCGTTTTGTGTCCCGCAAAAGGTGAAACCTCCGCACACGGCGGGGGGGGAACACGGCTCTTGGCCCAAGCTGAAGCGGCACCAACACGTTCAGGCCTGAGGTCTGCTCTGCTGGTGGGGGTTTTCAACACGAGCCGGCTTGTGTCCAGGCAGCACCGGTGCGGCAGCAGGGCCAGGGCAGGGATTGTGCCCCTGTGCTGGGCATTGGTGGGGCCGCACCTCGGATCCTGTGTTCAGCTCTGGGCCCCTCACTGCAAGAGAGACCTTGAGGTGCTGGAGCGGGGCCAGAGAAGGGAATGGAGCTGGAGCAGGGCCTGGAGCACAAGTGTGATGGGGAAGGGCTGAGGGACCTGGGGGGGTCAGATGGAGAAGAGAAGGCTCAGGGGGGACCTGATGGCTCCCTACAAGTGACTGAGAGGAGGATGGAGCCAGGAGGGGCTGGGCTCTGCTCCCAAGGAACAAGGGGTGGGACAAGAGGAAACGGCCTCAAGCTGCACCAGGGCAGGTTTGGATGGAGCTGAGGAACAATTCCTTCCCCAGAGGGTGCTCAGGCATTGGAACAGGGCAGGGCTGCAGTCACCGTCCCTGCAAGTGCTCACACCCCGTGGAGACGAGGCCTCAGTGACACGGGTTAGGGGTGGCCTTGGCAGGACTGGGGAGCATTTGGACTGGATGAACTTAAAGGGCTTTTCAAGCCTTGTTGTTTCTAGGATTCCGGGCAGTTTACTCTGAATTGTGCTTTGCTTTCAGTGGCTCCAACAGCTCTGCTGCTGGCGGAGTGGGAAGGACTTTGCAGCATGAATGAAAGTATCTCACTGGTGAATTTAATCACAAATTTCCCTCCAAGACATTTTGGTATAAATAACCAAACAGAAGAAAACCACTTTAAAACCGCATGCAATGGCTTCCTCCCTGGTGGCTCATTCAGAATGAATAAGCCCTTAGTTTTATTCCTGCGATAACACATTTTAGAAGACCTTTATATAAAATATACATAAAGATCTGAATCATAGAAGTAAACCTGGATGGGGAGAGCAGCTGGTAAAGCTGCTAGCAAAAACCCTGGCTCTCAGGTCAGCCATAAAACCTCAATGTGGCCTCTTGGTGCTGGCACATCCAAGTGAGGGGCTCGAATGACAGCTCCTCATCCCAGCAGCCTGGCCCCACGCTGTGTGAGGGCAGAGCAGCCCCGGTGGCTGAGCAGGTAATTCAATGCTCTGATCTCCCACCAGCCGGTGCCGTGCTGCCTGTGCGTGGCTCAGAGCCTGCTCTGAATACTGAACTGTTTGCTTGTGATTTTTCTTCTGCTGTTTCTACATATGCAGGCAGAGCATTCTCCAAATGCCAGTGAACGTCTTCGCAGCCCCTGGGGAATCAGAGGCCACGATCCCCATTTTACACACAGAACTGTGATGCGAAGGGATGAATGAAAACATAATACCCACAGAGCTGAGGAGCTGGCTTTGCAAAACCTGCTTCTGCACTGTATGGGTACAAAGTCCTTTCCTTCTGCCCCTTGACCAGCAGTCACAAATGGAGGGATATTCCCATCTCCCGACATAGTCCAGGTTTTCATGGGTTGCTGGTTTAATGTTGGATTTGGTAATGCTCAGTAGTTTTTGGGTTGTTTTTGTGTTTTTTTCCTTTATTGGTGTCAGAATCATAGTATCACAGAATTCCAGGTTGGAAGGGACCTCAGGGATCATCTGGTCCAACTTTTCCAGGCAAAGCATGGCCTAGACTAGATATCCCAGCACTCTGTCCAGGCAGATCTTAAAAATGTCCAGCACTGGGGAGTCCACCACTTCCCTGGGGAGATTATTCCAGTGGCTGCTTGTTCTCAGTGTGAAAAACTTTCCTCTTGTTCCAGTCAGAATCTCCCCAAGAGTAACTTGTCCCCATCACCCCTCTGCTTTTCCATGGAACTCCTTGTAAAAAGGGAGTCTCCATCTTCTTTGTAGCCACCCTTTGTATACTAGAACATGATATGAAGGGATCCAAGGTGGAAGAGCCTGAGGACGGACCCTGGAACCTTGTGTGCAGTGGCCATGTGGCATTCCTTGCAAGGCCAAGGATCAGCCAGCCAGACCTTGGGCACCCTCACAAAAGGGATGGGCTTTTCCGACTGAGTGAGAGGAGCTTGAGACCCTCACAACTTTGTTTAGCACCAGCCCAGCAGGGAGCCTCTGGGAGCAGCCAGGCAGTCTGCTCTGGACACCCCTCCAGTGCAGCACATCAGGGTACACACATGCAGAGCCTGAAAGCGAAACCATTCCATGACTGATGTGGCAAATGGTGCAACCTGCTGTGAAGCTTTGCTGGTGCCCCTTCCCCTCACATCCCTTCTGTGGTCTCTCCTCTTCACTGCAGCACTGCTGACAGGAGCCACAGGCCTGCACAGCTGCCCAGCACCGACCGATGTGCTGCCACACAGCCCTCTCCTTTCATTGCTCTGGGTGTAATGCTGCCAGGGCTGCAGCCAGCTCTAAATGCGTGTATCTCATTTGTGCAGCTGAACCTGTGCCATCTGGCTGATGGCAGGGACAGCTCTGGAAACAAACTAATTCTTTTTTTCCTTTCTGATAAAACATTACCTCTGTGAGATTTACACACAAGATCGAGCATCAACCTGAATTATCTCCCTCTTCTTTTTCTCCAGGGAGCACATAATAGGTAGATCCATCCATCCGTCTGCTTTGTTACACGTCGCCCAGCTTGGCAGTGTTTCTGTTGCTATTAAACCGTGCTCATCCCCCTTGACATTTAAAAGGCCGTTAGATGATTACTGTCACAGTCTTGTACGTGGTGCCTTAAACCAATTCTCTCCTCCTCTGCTCACCGATGATGGATTTGCTAGTTTATGCCATAGTAATTTGTTTTTCTCATGCTGAGCTCCAGCAAAATGCTTTCACTGTCAGATGTGGTTTTCTGTACAGCCCTTCCCTGCGGTGCCATGTTGCAACCAAGCAGCTCTGGGCAAATCAGAGCTGCCCTGGCTTTCAACAGCATTAGCAAAACAAAATAGCATCAGCCTTTGGGAGCCTGGTCCTGCCGGGATTGGATCCTCCTGTGTTCGGAGTTGGAACATAGCAGACTGCAGTGCTGCAGTTTGTGTTGGTGGGGCCATTGACTACCATGGCTGCAGAATATCCCATGGGATGCATGGATGTTGGCTCCATGCAGCATGTGGCTCCTGAGAGCAAGGAGTTGAGGCTTTGTGCCTGTTTGGGAGCAGAGGGTGGGAGGCACCATCAGCTTGAGAGTTTGCAGCTCATCCATCAGGTCAGCACACATGGGGACAGCTGAGGGTTTGCTGCCACTGGAGCTTTTCCAGATCTGCAATGGGGAGAAACGCTTCAGTGTACCAGTTCCTGAAAGTAAAGTCCATTTTGGCCTCTCCCATGTTCTCCTGTTGGCAGGATCAGAAACGCTGAGGATGGTACCCAGTTCTGCCAGAAAGTTGATCTTGTGCATGTCCAGGCGTTGAGTTAAACGGGTAAAAACACTTACCAGAGAGCTTGAAACATAAAGGTGTCCTGGCTCATTCCACACCTGGAAAATGTGGCCAGCAGGGATCAAAATGCAAGTATCCCCCTGAGATGGAGAGAGTCAGGGCTGTTCATGGTGGTTGATGTCACCTGGACATCTGAGCCTATGGCACTCAAAACATCCATGCACATCCCAGCATGAGCCTGCAGTGCTTCTGAGCTGAAAGCTTGGGGATGTCTGGCTTAGCATGGAAAGCAAAGAGAACATTTCCTACTCCACAGTACTCACTTGTTTGTAGAATTACTCTCATCAGCATCTCCCCTGTTCCCAGTCTCCTGCTGCAGAGCAGGTTGGTGGGGTTCGTGTATCTAATGAATTGCTACTCAAACCCACCTGCTTGTAGAGAAATGGCCTCAACTAAATCCAGCTGTGCTGGGGAAAGATGTGGCTCAGGCCCTTGTCACTATCCCCAGCTGGAGGTTCCTCTCCCATCATCCTGCCAGCAGGGCACTTGTGTGCACAATTCAGATGGAGCCAGCAGG